AGACCCGCCTTGGCCTCCCAAAGTGCTGGGATTACAGGCTTGAGCCACCGTGCCCGGCTATATTTTTAAATCTTTTTTGAGATGGAGTCTCACTCTGTAACCCAGGCTGGAGTGCAGTGGCATGATCTTGGCTCACTGCAGCCTCTGCCTCCTAGGTTCAAATGATTCTTCTGCCTCAGCCTCCTGAGTAGCTGAGATTACAGGAGCGCAGCCACCATGCCCAGCTAATTTTTTTTCTGTATTTTTAGTAGAGATGGGTTTCACCATGATGGTCAGGCTGGTCTTGAACTTTTAACCTTGTGATTCGCCCACCTCAGCCTCTCAAAGTGTTGGGATTGCAGGCATGAGCCACCGTGCCCGGTCTTTTTTTTTTTTTTTTTTTTTTTTTTTGAGACAGTCTCAGTCTCACTCAGGCTGGAATACAGTGGTGTGGTCTCAGCTCACTGCAACCCCTGCCTCCCTGGTGCAAGTGATTCTTCTGCCTCAGCCTCCTGAGTAGCTGGGATTACAGTTGCACACCACCATGCCCAGCTAATTTTTGTATTTTTAGGTGAAGATGGGATTTCACCATGTTGGCCAAGCTGGTCTCAAACTCCGGACCTCAAGTGATCTGCTCTCCTCAGCCTCCCATAGTGCTGGAATTACAGCCACTGTGTCCAGCCTATGCAACTGCTCTTAAGTGTCTTATTTCCCCTAAGAGGCTCATCCTACTTTTTCTTAGAAGCTTTCAATTTCTGTTGTGTGTCTCTGCTCAGTCTCCCTCAAATTCACCCATAATCCTCCTGACTTCTGCAGATTCCCCAGTGCTCCAATGCATCACTCCACCTTCTGGGTTTTCTGCACTGCCAGTGTGATATACGAAGTATGCTGATATTTCTTCTAATGTCTGAGTTATATGAGGCAGATTCGTCTGTCAGGGTCTAAACATGCCATAACCATGGGTTCAAATTAGACTCTTTTCTTGCTTTTCTAGGGAGGAGGTGTGCAGTGAGTAGTAAAACAGGAAACAACCGTGTTACAAATCCACTTGGATTAACCTTTCAGTTACCTTTGCCGGGACTGGAGATATTTCAAGGTGAAGGGAAATTTTACGAATGTAGTCAAGTTGAAAAGTTCATCAGCCACAGTTCTTCAGTTTCGCCACTTCAAAACATTTCTTATGCTGTCAAAACGTGCATTTTTAATAAACATAGGAACGATTTTGTTGATTTTCCATTACTCTCACCAGAACAGAAAGCACACATTAGGAGCAAACCTTACAAATGTAAAGAGCAGAGCAAAGTCTTTAGAGTGTCTTCAAGCTTTCCTAATCCTCAAGTAATCCACACTGCAGATAAACCTAACAGATGTCATGAATGTGGTAAAGTCTTCAGAAACAAGTCATACCTTGCAGAACATTGGAGAATCCATACAGGAGAGAAGCCTTACAAGTGTAAAGAATGTGGCAAGCTCTTCAATCGATTTGCCTACCTTGTCCGACATGAGAAAGTCCATACAGGAGAGAATCCTCACAAATGTAATGAATGTGGCAAGGTTTTCAGTCGAATTACATACCTTGTACGACATCAGAAAATTCATACTGGAGAGAAACCTCATAAATGTAACGAATGTGGCAAGGTTTATAGTAGTAGTTCATACCTAGCACAACATTGGAGAATTCATACAGGAGAGAAACTTTACAAATGTAATAAATGTGGCAAAGAATTCAGTGTGCATTCAAGCCTCACCACCCATCTGTTAATCCATACTGGAGAGAAACCTTACAAATGTAAAGAATGTGACAAGGCCTTTAGGCACAAGTTTTCCCTAACAGTTCATCAGAGACATCACAACGGAGAGAGACCTTATAAATGTAATGAATGTGGCAAAGTCTTCACTCAGGTTTCACACCTTGCACGTCATCAGAAAATTCATACTGGAGAGAAACCTTACAAATGTAATGAGTGTGGCAAAGTCTTCACTCAGAATTCACACCTTGCAAATCATCACAGAATCCATACTGGAGAGAAACCTTACAAATGCCATGTGTGTGGTAAGGTCTTTAGACACAGTTCATGGCTCGCACAGCATCAGAGAATTCATTTATGAGCGAGTCCTTACAAACTGAGTATGGCAAACTCTATTATACGTTCTAGCATTAATCAACATGAGAGAGTCCACACTAGAAAGAAATTATTTAAATATAAATACAGCACAGGTGGTATCGAGACCTACCAAATCACAAGACATCAGAACATACGTCTTTAGTGAAGCCACACAAATGGATTGTGTGCTCCAAGGCTAACAAGTCAAAATATGTTGAACCTAATGATACGATGTGTGTAAAGGGTGCCAGGACACGTGGAAATGGTCTGTTACGTTCAGGTTATTAAAAATGTAATTATTTGGGTTTTGTTTGAAAGGCCAGGTGCGGTGGTCCATGCCTGTAATCTCAGCACAATAGAAAGCCAAGACAGTAGGATCACTTGAGGCCAGGAGATAAAGATCAGCATGGGCAGCACAGCAAGGGCCATCTCTACAACACGAAAAAGTAAGGCGGGCCCTTGACACATTTCTGTACTTCCAGCTACTCCAAGGCCAGAGGATTGTTCGAGCCCAGGACTTTGAGAGGTTGAGTAATGAGCTATGATCTTACTCATCTCTACTAGCGTGGATGACAGAGTGAGACGCTGTCACAAAAGAAAAAGGCTGCTTTTTATGACTTTCATCCTGAACTTTGAATCTCTTTATGTGCCTTCCCGACAGGCCTTTCACTGTGGTCTCAGGGAAAGAATCAGGAAAGATGACAGGGCTGACTTAATTAACTGAGGAGCGTTTCTATCCGATTTCCTGGAAGAATAAGGACACTGCCTTTTCAGATTAAATATTGTCTGTTTTAGAGACCATGTAGGTGGACAGAGAATAACAAAGCCATGAAGGCAGTCGTCATGTTTATTGCAATTGGCACACTATTTTTCTGACAGGCACAGTGCTGTGCGCTACAACAGATAAGAATTAGAGCACACTGTGACTTTAGGACACTGGGATTTTTATTCAAACAGAGGTCATTAGGGGCTGATTATGTAGTAGAGATGATGTAGGGGAAATGGTGGCCACCTTCTCCATTGAATAGCAATAGCTGTTGTTAGCAAAGACTGATTAAAAAGTACTCTAATTTTTGAAATGGAAGAAAGAACAGTTATATCAGAGTAAAGAGTTTAATCAAAACTACCAATGTGGCTGGGCGCAGTGGCTCACACCTGTAATCCCAGGACTTTGGGAGGCCGAGGTGGATGGATTGCCTGAGGTCAGGAGTTCAAGACCAGCCTGGCCAACATAGTGAAACCCCATGTCTACTAAAAATACAAAAAATTAGCTGGGCCTGGTGGTGGGCATCTGTAATTCCAGCTACTTGGGAGGCTGAGGCAGGAGAATCACTTGAACCCAAGAGGTGGAGGTTGCAGTGAACCAAGATCACGCCATTGCACTCCAGCCTGGGCAACAAGAGCGAAACTCTGCCCCCCTCCACCTGCCCAAAAAAATACCAATGTAACATGTTCTTGAGTAGGATTCACATTTAACTGCTGGCATAATTTGCAACTGTTTGATTTAGTGTCCATAGTTCTTAGGTTTGGAACAATAAAGTTTAAATTTTCCAAAGTGTGAATGATTCATTCTTTCTACCAATATTGTGTTTTATCCCATCCCAGGAGGATACTTTATAGCAGACAATAATAAGGCACCACTAGGACTTTTTTCTTTTTTTGAGATGAAGTCTTGCTCTGTCGCCCAGGCTGGAGTGCAGTGGCATGATCTTGGCTCACTGCAACCTCCGTCTCCCAGGTTCAAGTGATTCTCCTGTCTCCGCCTCCTGAGTAGCTGGGATTACAGGTGTGCACCACCTGCACCCTGCCCAGCTAATTTTTTGTATTTTTAGTAGGGGGGGGGTTTGCCATATTGGCCAGTCTGGTCTCAAACTCCTGACCTCAGGTGATCCACCCGCCTTGGCCTCCCAAAGTGTTGGGATTACCAGCGTGAGTTTTTTTTTTTTTTTTTTTGAGACGGAGTTTCGCTCTTGTTACCCAGGCTGGAGTGCAATGGCGCGATCTCGGCTCACCGCAACCTCCGCCTCCCGGGTTCAGGCAATTCTCCCCCAGCCTCCTGAGTCGCTGGGATTACAGGCACACGCCACCATGCCCAGCTAATGTTTTGTATTTTTAGTAGAGACGGGGTTTCACCATGTTGACCAGGATGGTCTCGATCTCTTGACCTCGTGATCCACCCGCCTCGGCCTCCCACAGTGCTGGGATTACAGGCTTGAGCCACTGCGCCCGGCCCTGGCCAGGATTTTTAAGGTTGATGCATCCACGACAATTTTGTGTGTTAAATAAAATGACATACACTTTTGGATATATACACTTGGGTAAGTATGATTTTGGGTAATAATATTTAGTACTTCAGTTATTCTCTCTACTCTTTTTTTTTTTTTTTTTTTTTTGGGATGGACTTTTGCTCTTGTTGCCCAGGGTGGAGTGCAGTGGGTGTGATCTCTGCTCACTGCAATCTCCCCTTCCTGGGTTCAAGCGATTCTCCTGCCTTAGCCTCCCGAGTAGTTGGGATTACAGGCATTCGCCACCATGCCCAGCTAATTTTTTTAGGTTTTTAGAAGAGACACGGTTTCTCCATGTTGGTCAGGCTGGTCTCGAATTCCCGACCTCAGTGATCTGCCCGCCTCGGCCTCCCAAAGTGCTGGGATTACAGGTATGAGCCACCACGCCTGAACTACCTCTCTGTTCTGCCCTGAGATGCTTATGTGGGTAAAGGGAAAACCACGTAACAGTGCAGCTTCGTCGTATTCCCTCAAATGTTCATCACTGTTGATGAACATGAGCTGTATTACGTTTCTGTGTGCCTTTTTCTTGTGTGCCAAATAAGACCCCAGGCACCTTTGTTTTCAGGAATCAGAAATACAGATAACAAAGTGTGGACTTCAGGGTGAAAATATTTCAACAATCATAGTATTGACCTTGTAGTACTCAGTGACATAATTTGAAAATGTTAATGTTCAGAAATGTTCTCTTAAGGATGAACACACAGTGGGAATTTTGATTTGGTAGATTAATTGGAAACTTCCTATTTTCACCCTCATAACCTTTTTGGTAATTTGAACTTTTTATCACTGTTCTGGAACTGCTTTGACATCCACCTCAAGTTTGGTTCAGATATTGAGAATGATGACGCCATGCACTGAAAATCGACATAGGTGACTGGCATGGAGTATTATGATTGTTAAGGGGTAGGACTGGGGTATGGGTGCCCACTTGTGGTTTGACCTTCCAGCTTGTACCAAAGGAATGGGCACTGAGGCTTTTTATCAGTTGACCAGATGGGCAGAGTAGGAAGAGGGAGTGCAGCGGTGTAGAAGGTGTTAGTGTTCAGACATCACAAAATGCAGTCAACTCTAGTGCTACACTGAATGCTTCCTCTGGAAACTCCTGCCATCTTGGTTAGGAAAGACCCCAATTTTCTTCATGTTAATATCTTACATTCTTTTTATAGCTACAGATACAGGTCTCATAATACAATGTGATTGTTGAAAACACCTGTGAAATACTGTTTAGTAAAATTGTCTAAGATACTTTTTACAGTAGACAATGAAAATTATTCTGTGGAAGTGTTTATAATAAATATGTATTATATAATTTATAGGATTTATTAAAATGTATTATAAATATGGTATTACTAGAAAGAGCATTTTTCCAAAAGCTATGGAAATGTCATTTTCCCATTATAGCATTAAGTAATATATTCCATGGTTCATTTTCTACTCTAATAAAAGTATATTTTGTGTGTTATATATGTAACACATATATATTTTTTTACTTTTTCCATATGTTGCATCCAGATGCTATGCTTGTGGGTTTTTTTGGTTGGTTTTTTTTTTTTTTTTGGGACGGAGTTTCACTCATGTTACCCAGGCTGGAGTGCAATGGCACGATCTCGGCTCACCGCAACCTCTGCCTCCTGGGTCCAGGCAATTCTCCTGCCTCAGCCTCCCGAGTAGCTGGGATTACAGGCACACGCCACCATGCCCAGCTAATGTTTTGTATTTTTAGTAGAGACGGGGTTTCACCATGTTGACCAGGATGGTCTCGATCTCTTGACCTCGTGATCCACCCGCCTCGGCCTCCCACAGTGCTGGGATTACAGGCTTGAGCCACCGCGCCCGGTCCTTTTTTTTTTTTTTTTTGAGACAGAGTCTCACTCTGTCACCTATGCTGGAGTGCAGTTGCACAATCTTGGCTCACTGTAGCCTCCACCTCCCGGGCTCAAGGGATCCTCCTGCCTCAGCCTCTGAATAGCTGGGGTTATAGATGTGTGCTGTCATGCCCGGCTAATTTTTGTATTTTTAGTAGAGACAGGGTTTTGCCATGTTGACCAGACTGGTCTTGAATTCCTGACCTCAGGTGATCCACCCGCCTCGGCCTCCCAAAGTGCTGGGATTACAGGCTTGAGCCACCACACTCAGCCTAAATACACTTCTAAGTTTTGTTCCATTTAACAGGTACACAGACTCTAACAATGGAAATTGAGAAATGCACTTTGCAACAATTCATAGTATCTCTGTTTTTAAGAGGAGGTCTCCGTATGTCGCTCAGGCTGGTCTCGAACTCCTGGACTCAGCAATTCTGCCTCATAGTCCTGTGTAGCTGGGATCACAGGCCTGCACCAGTATGCCCAGTTAGTGTTGTCTCTTGCATGTGACAGGAACAGACACCAGACAACCAAAATGAATACTTAGGGCCCCTCAATACCATTCCAAGACGGAGGTATGGGGCAAGTTTATGCTGACATTATTATCAGTTTAAACTTTCTCATGTTCCATTTGACAATTATAATGTGTGTTTATCATGTTTTGAATTTTTCATGTTAGAATATGTGGTGACAATGTTGTAACTGACTCCACTTCTAAATTCCTAGAAAACAGCAAAGGGTGGCCAGTTGCCATGGCCCACGCCTGTGATCCCAGCATTTTGAGAGTCTGAAGAGGGAGGCTCGATTGAGCCCAGGGATTCAAGACCACCTTGAGCAACAGAGGAAAACCCCATCTCTACAAACAGTTTTTTTTGTTTTTTTTTTTTTAATTTACCAGAGCATGCTGGCCTGTGGTCCTAGCTACTGTGGAGGCTTAGGAGGATCACCTGTGCCCCGGGAAGTCAAGGCTACAATAAGCCCTGCACTCCAGTCTAGGTGACAGAGCGAGACCCTGTGTCAAAAACTTATTAAATATCCAGGCGCGGTGGCTCACGGCTGTAGTCCTAGCACTTTGGGAGGCTAAGGTGGGTGGATCACCTGAGGTCAGGAGTTCATGACCAGCCTGGCCCTCATGGTGAAACCTCATCTTTAAAAAAAAAAAAAAAAAAAAAATTATTAAATAAAATAAAAATGAAAATTATTTGTGCCTGTCATTCTAGTTACTCAGGAGGCTAGGGTGGAGGATCTCTTGAGCCTGGTCCAGGCTGCAATGAACCCCAGTTGCACTACAGCACTCCAGTCTGGGCAACAGAGCAAGACTCTGTGATACTAAAAAAAAAAAAAAAAAAAGGCCTGGTGCAGTGGCTCACACCTGTAATCCCAGCACTTTGGGAGACTGCAGTGGGCAGATCACTTGAGGTCAGGAGTTTGAGATCAGCCTGGCCAACATGGTGAAACCCCTTCTCTACTAAAAATACAAAAAAATTAGCTGGGCTTGGTGACAGGCACCTGTAACCTCAGGCCAAGTTCCCATCCTTTGACTTATCAAGGATTACTGAATTCTTTGTCCCCACTGCCAGGTGCTCATGCACTGCCGCATACCTGGACCTTTCTAGCCTTGCTCCCTGCTCCACATAAAATGTCTTTTCTCTGTGGCTCTTGGGCATGTGCAAACCTTGTGGTTGGAGCATCCTCTACTGTAATAATCCTTTTGAATACCATCTCTCCCAAAGTATGAATTTGTGTTTTGACAGATGTAAATATTTTCATTATGCCATTTGTGTTGGAAGCTGTTCACTCTTTTTTGTATGTGTGGCTTAGGCTGTAAACTATACTCAACAGCTGAAAATAGTTCCTAGTTTAGTAAAATACTTTGAATCCTCAATGATTTGCATCTGCATTGTAATGATATTACAGGTAAGCATATGTAAAAATCTTTCTCTAGCTGAGGAAATACCCATTTTTATTTATTAGAGAAAAACTATATCCATGTTGGTTCCTTGAAAATTTTATGCTAATTTTATATCCTAAAAGGATCATATTTGGGGTTTATTTATTTATTTATTTATTTTAAGACTATTAGACTCGCTCTGTCACCCAGGCTGGAGTGCAGTGGCCTGATCTCGGCTCACTGCAGCCTCCACCTCCCAGTTCCAGTGATTCTCCTGCCTCAGTCTCCCAAGTAGCTGGGACTACAGATGTGCACAACCACGCCCAGTTAATTTTTGCATTTAATAAATTTAGTAGAGTTTTGTAGAGACAGGGTTTCACCATGTTGGCCAGGCTGGTCTCAAACTCCTGATCTCAAGTGATCCATCAACTGAGCCTCCCAAAGTGCTGGGATTATAGGTGTGAGCCACCTCACCTGGCCAACAGGATCATATTTCAATTAATTAACACTTCAAGGCCGGGCGGGGTGGCTCAAGCCTGTAATCCCAGCGCTTTGGGAGGCCGAGGCGGGTGGATCACGAGGTCAAGAGATCGAGACCATCCTGGTCAACATGGTGAAACCCCGTCTCTACTAAAAATACAAAAAAAACATTAGCTGGGCATGGTGGCGCGTGCCTGTAATCCCAGCTACTCAGGAGGCTGAGGCAGGAGAATTGCCTGAACCCAGGAGGCGGAGGTTGCGGTGAGCCGAGATTGCGCCATTGCACTCCAGCCTGGGTAACAAGAGCGAAACCCCGTCTCAAAAAAAAAAAAAAAAAAAAAAAATTAACACTTCAAGATGAATGTGACCTTCCAATGACAAGGATGTGAGAGAAAAGCATACTTATTGGCACATGTTAATTCACAAATATTGCCGTAAAATTATTGCCAGTAGACATGAGGCTATTTAAATTTTGATAATTTTCTTTTACTTTCTTCTAGGTTCACATGAAAAAGAATAACTTACCCACCAAATAACTTTTGTATTATTGCAAGATTGTTCTTTGGTGAAAATCAATCCAGGAGTCTTCTGAAGGCTCTCTTTAGGCTTCGTTACTCCTACATGAGAGAACATTAGGAAAATAAGACACCTAAAAAAGATCACAATTGTTAAAAATACGTTTTCTAATTACTCCCAGAATGCATATAAAGTGAACTTGAAATTACAGTATACTTTGAAATTATTGATGTAAGCATATTGCAATGTCAACTAAGTTTATCTGAAAGGAATTTGAGGTTAATTCATCTCAAACTGGAATAGAATAACATAAGAAATGTAAAAAAGAACGATGTAATTTACATGTATTTTTTAATCTTTTTTTTTTTTTTTTTTTTTTTTTTTTGCTCCCCCGCTTTCATTCAGGTTGGAGTGTAGTGGCACGATCTCTGCTTACTGCAACCTCCGCTTCCCGGTTCAAGCGATTCTCCTGCTTCCACCTCGAGTAGCTGGGATTACAGGCGTGTGCCACCATGTCCGGCTAATTTTTGTGTTTTTAGTAGAGACGGGGTTTCACCTTGTTGGCCAGGCTGGTCTCGAACTCCTGACGTCAAGTAATCCATTCGCCTCTGCCTCCCAAAGTGCTGGGATTACAGGTGTGAGCCACCACATCCGGCCAGTTAATGCTTTTTTTAAAAGCAACAACTGGTGACTTCACTTCTCACTAGCCTTAGCCCTCTACGCCCCTGGGGCTGTCCCTAGGAAACTCTGAAGCTGAGCACAGGGTCACCTCTGTTTCTCCCGAAAGAACAGGAATGGAAAAGGAGAGGATTTCTATTCTGCTTTGTGGGCCGTCAGCATGAAATTACATACTACACTCAGGCAGGGTTTTGCAGTTCACATATTAACTTACATCGCTTTCACAGACAATCCCAGGGCTTTTTAATTAAATTGCTAAAATTAGTTTTTATGTGTTTATTTCAGAGACAGGGTCTCTGTCGCCCAAGCTGGAGTGCAGTGGCCATCACAGCTGCGTGTAAACTCGAACTCCTGGGCTCAAGCGACTCAGCCTTCGGGATAGCTGGGACTATAGGTGCCCGACCCCACGGCCGGCTCAAGATTAGTTTTAATAGAAGGAATTTTCCCAGATCTAATCATCAGCTGACTTTGCTTTGCTGGGGCAAGAGTACAGTTCGGATACAGGTGAGCTGCTCCAGCCTCGCTAGCAGGTCTCACCTGCAAAACCCGGAAAACAGAGGCGCTGGGACGTGCAGGCCACGCCCCGGCCACACCCACCTGACCACGCCCCTGATTGACCACGCCCCGCCTGACCACGCCCTGCTCCGACCCCCTTCGCTGCGCGCGCAGTTTCCCACACACCCGGAAGCGGATCGCGTGGAGTGAAGGTCACGCCGTGGCGCGTGAGTTTCCCTTTGTCTACATTAAATCTGTGCTTCCCAGCTCCCCCGCGCTTCTGTACCCGGGATCTGAGGGGCCACACGGACCTTGAAACCCCCACACCGCTCCCTCTACCCCTACCAAATTCAGGCGTCTCCGTGGCAGTCCGGCTTCCCTCTGTGTTTAACTATGTTGGCGGCGGGTCCTGTCTTCAGTCTTTCTGCCACAGGGCCACGTAGTCACCTCCTATCGCGGAGTTTTCCTGCCTCACGTCCTTCAGTGATGCCTACACCCGCTCTACACCGCGTAAAGTCCTCCCTCGAGAGGTGGATTCCGGTCTGTCCAGTCTCCCTAGCCTCGCCCTTGTCGGCCCCAGAGCGCAGCGCTCCAATCTCAATCCCGGAGAAGCGGCGACCTCTGCCGGGTTCTGGGATTCTGCAGACCTCACCCCACTGTTGATCCAGACCCTACCCTTACCTCCCTTGATCCGGGGCCCCGTTGCTCCCCAGGCCTCCTGTTCCCAGCCACCGCTTCTCCGGACGCTGGCTGTGGGGAGGTGACTTATTCTGTCTCCTGACATCCAGTGTTCTTGCGTCCCAAATAACACCCCACTGAAAAGGCATTCTTCTTGTGGGCGCTGGATCCCAATCCCTTCCATGTGAGTGGGCGCCGAAAGAGTGATGGAGAGCGAGGGAGAAGAAAGGGAAATATTTTGAAAGAGAAAAGAAGATTGAGGGAGAGCCATAAGTGGACAGCAAAGTAGAGAGTGGATAAAGGATTTGTAGAGATGGAGAATGAGGCCGAGAATGTAGCAGGAGGAGAAAAGCAACTAGAGAAATGCAGAGAAAAGTTCCATCTCCGGAGACATGAAGGACAGCAAGGTAGTGAGAGGAGCAGCAAAGTGGGAGGTTCCTCAAACAGAGTGGGGGAGAGGAGGAGGAATTTGGAGCCAGGGCAGTCAGAGCAGCCTGGTGCTGGGACAGAAAGAGGGGTCAGCTGGTGACAAGGAGAGCAGAGGGAGAACCACAGCAGGGTGAGGCCTGGGATCTCGGGGTGCCAGAGAGTGGGGAAAAGGGGGTATAACAGGGAAGAAGGGATTTAACAGGGGGAGCAGAGGGGGACCAGAGACAGGGAAAGAGGCAGAACCGGGCATGGTGGCTCACACCTGTAATCTCAGCGCTTTGGGAGGCCAAGGCAGGTGGATCACCTGAGGTCAGGAGTTCGAGACCAGCCTGGTCAACATGGAGAAACCCCGTCTCTACTAAAAATACAAAAATTAGCCGGGCGTGGTTATGAGTGCCTGTAATCCCAGCTACTTGGGAGGCTGAGGCAGGAGAATCGCTTGAACTTGGGAGGCGGAGGTTGCAGTGAGCCAGTCGCGCTATTGCACTCCAGCATGGGCGACAAGAGCAAAAATCCTTCTCAAAAAAAAAAAGAACAGAAATAGGTGGAGATTGGGACAATCAAAGATTGGGCAGAGAGTTAGAAAAAGGGGTGAAACAAGTTGCCAGAATGGAGCAGGTGGAAGAGAAGTCATAGAAGGAAGAAGGGGAGAACCATCAGGAGAAGACAGAGGCTCAAGATGAGCAGAATCCTAGAGGGAAAGAAAGGGAAAAAAAGCTAGAAAAAGAGGGTGAGAATGAGAGATATGTACAGAATGAGGGAGGGAAACACACACTGCTGAGGAAAGAGGGGACCCTGGGTGCAGATGAATGGTGAATTGATTGGATGTTATGATTAAGTTGTGACATTGATTTCTCTATTTATAATATGAAATTTGCTTTAAAAATACAGATGAAGATGAGATGTACAAAACTCCTGTCTGTGAGGCTGGTGTATTTTATAATTCTTGGCATCAGAGTTTAGCGTCCACTCACATTCCCTGTTAAGGCACAGTTCAGTGACTTGAGTAATTCATTGTGGGTCACCTGCCTTCCTTCCCTGGGACAGCGAGTTTATAAGATAGCAGGCAAACCAAAGTGTTTTTCCTACTCTTGGAATCAACGCAATAGTGAACACTCGACACAGAATGCCTCATGTCTGATGAACAAAATGTGTGGGGATTACTTCCCACCAACAAGCAATTCATCAGACACCACTTGGGTGTTCTGTAGTTTCACTCAAGATGACACTGTCTACGTGGAGTTAGCCTCAGATCCCACAGGTTCGGGGCTTACTTCTACAAGGCTGCCCCCACTTCACATGCCAGTTGTAAGTTCAGGTTGGGACCTGAACTTCAACCGAACATTGAAAAATTGAAGATTCCCTTGACCCTTTCCTCAGATTTTATTAATTTGCTAGCTTGGTTTACAGAACTCAAGGAAAGATTTTGCTTAGTTTTACCCATTTGCTATGAACCTGGGATCCACAGAGGGGAGGGAGGCTGCGCGGGGAGGGAGGCTGCGCTCTGCATGGGTTTTGATCAGGGCTGAGTCTGTGTCCTGAATGGGGCAGCTCAGTCCAGCCCAGCTCCCCACAGCTGCAGCATGTGTGTGGGCTTCCAGGAGGGGAGCGAGTTCTAAAGAAAGGGGCCAGAAACTGACTTGCTCTTCCTAGAGGAGTTTCTTGTCCCTGCATCAACTCTGGTGCAGTGGGCAGCGGAGGACATCTTTCCACAGAGTGCGGTCTGACCTGTGTGTGTGGTTGTGGCACAGGAAGGGGAATGTGTTGATTCTGAGCCCTAAACAGCATATTTTAAACATTTAGGACTGACTGCTGAAGTGTCATGCTGTGTCATAAAAAAGCCCAGAAGAGAAGGAAGAGGAAAGCAAAGGAGTCAGGGATGGCTCTTCCTCAGGTAAAGTGATATTCTCAGTAGACTGTTCTATCTCCTTCCTTTCTGAAATGCCAGGCATTGGATTTGTGAGTTTTTTTCTGCATCTGAAGCGTCCTGCCTGACACATTTGCTGGCTCTCACCCATGCCTTCCCTCAGTCCCTCTCATGTCACTTAGATTCCATCTCCCGTGACCCAGTGACATGAACTTGGGAAGAGGCTGCACTGGGCATGGTCCTGGGAAGGGCTCACCCCAGACGTGGATGGAGACGGGATGTGGGCCCCGTGGTGTCAGGGCTGCTGGGCAGCAGGGATTGTTCAGGGGCCACATCTGGATGCACCGTCAGCCCTGTGTAGACCAGAAGCTGCATGTGGAAGTCATGTATTGTGCACAAGCACCTAGTAAATTCTAGGAAAGGAGTTGAAGAAGGAGAAACCTTTTCTGCCTGATTATTTTTTTTGGTGGTGGGGGACCAAGTCTCGCTCTGTCATCCAGGCTAGAGTGCAATGGCATGATAGCTCGCTGCAACCTCTGACTCCTGGGTTCAAGTGACTCTTGTGCCTCACTCTCCCAAGTAGCTGGGATTACAGGCACCCGCCACCACACTTGGCTATTTATTGTATTTTTAGTAGAGATGGAAGTTTCACCGTGTTGGCCAGGATGGTCTTGAACTCCTGACCTCAGGTGATCCACCTGCCTCGGCCTCCCAAAGTGCCGAGATTACAGTGTGAGCCACCGCGTCCAGCCTTCCTGCCTGATTTTTACTACATTTGAAGTTAAATGCCTTTCCCAGTTTTTATGTCTAGCTTGGTTCAGGAGGACGTTTTATCAGCATCCTTAGCACATGCCTCTCACAGACACTGATTTTCCTTCAGGGAGTCCCCTGCAGCAGCTGTGTTGGGCAAAAAATATAATTTTGCTCAGAGATTGGAGCAGATTTTTCTTTTTTTTTTTTTTTTGAGGCGGGGTTTTGTTCTCGAGGCTGGAGTGCAATGGCGCGATCTCGGCTCACCGCAACCTCCGCCTCCTGGGTTCAGGCAATTCTCCTGCCTCAGCCTCCTGAGTAGCTGGGACTACAGGCACGTGCCACCATGCCCAGCTAATTTTTTGTAGTTTTTAGTAGAGACGGGGTTTCACCGTGTTGACCAGGATGGTCTCGATCTCTTGACCTCGTGATCCACCCGTCTCAGCCTCCCAAAGTGCTGGGATTACAGGCTTGAGCCACCGCGCCCGGCTGGAGCAGATTTTTCTTGTCATTAGAGAGGGGGAAATCATATTCTTGTCCACCAATTATTATTATCATTTTTTAACATCAGATTATGTATAAATTTGTCTTATAGGAAAACTCCAAATGTACAGGTTAGGCCATCAAATGCAAAGCATGCCCTGTCCTAAATGTCTAAATGACATGTATGTAGTTGTTATGGAGGGCAGCCTTCCACTCTCCCCTAGTCTCACTGGGGACTCACTGCTGTCAGCTCTGTCAAGAGTGAGAGCAAGGGCCGGGCGCGGTGGCTCACACCTGTAATCCCAGCACTTTGGGAGGCCAAGGTGGGGAAATTGGGAGTTTGAGACCAGCCTGACCAACATGGAGAGGCCCCGTCTCTACTAAAAATATAAAATCAGCTGGGGCATCGTAGTGGGCGCCGGTAATCCCAGCTGCTTGGGAGGCTGAGGCAGGAGAATCGCTTGAATCCGGGAGGCGGCAGTTGAGGTGGGCTGAGATCTCACCATTGCACTCCAGCCTGGGCAACAAGAGCAAAACTCCATCTCAAAACAAACAAACAAAAAAGAGTAAGTCCTGTAGAGATACATTTATACAGCATTATGGTATTTTAAGTAAAATTCTCAGTGATTGCCAGGCGCGGTGGCTCAAGCCTGTAATCCCAGCACTTTGGGAGGCCGAGGCGGGTGGATCACGAGGTCAAGAGATCGAGACCATCCTGGTCAACATGGTGAAACCCCGTCTCTACTAAAAATACAAAAAATCAGCTGGGCATGGTGGCGCGTGCCTGTAATCCCAGCTACTCAGGAGGCTGAGGCAGGAGAATTGCCTGAACCCAGGAGGCGGAGGTTGCGGTGAGCCGAGATCGCGCCTTTGCACTCCAGCCTGGGTAACATGAGCGAAACTCTTCTTCTAAAAAAAAAAAAAAAAAAAAAAAAATTCTCAGTGATTGTTTTGTGATACTTTGTTCTGTACGTAGTGAAAATTTGCTCCTTTACACCCTCATGTGAAGGTTCTCTGAATTAAAAATTGGTCACCTCTCTGTTTTTAGTGTCTGGCCTGGTTTAGGGAGGACATGCTTTTCTGTCCAGCTGGAGACTCGGGAGGTCCCGAGCCTTGTCTGGGATGGGTCCTCCCAGGGCTTTGCTTGTCACTTCCTCACTGAAGCGGGTGGCCAGGCTCTGCTCGGGAGCTCCCCTTTCTGTACCTGCTCTGCGGCCTGCGTGGGGCCATAGGAAAGGTGTATGCCCATGTTACTGCGCGCCCTGATTCATGCTGGTGTCTTTGTTTTCAGTGGCCTCCTGACCTGGGGCCCTGTTATTTCTATCCTTATGTTCAATCAAGACAGAAACTTGTCCCTCAGGCAGTCCCCTGAAAAGTCAGAAGGTTGGATAGACATTCCCATTGTTTTCCTCTCTCAGGAGAAATGAGGAGTTTGCAGTATCCTCTTGACGATGGCATGTCACGCCAGGCAGGGGCTCTGGCGAGCAGGTGTCACACATTTTCCCACTGGTCTCCCAGCAGGTTCACTTAGTACTGGTGCATCTCTGGGTGCAGCCTCCTGAGTGGCCTCTGGATTTTTCACAAAGGCAATTGGCCCATGTATTCTTGTTTAATTTGTGTCTACAGGGATTCAAAGTGGTCTGGGGCTTTCTATTCTTCTGTCTTGCTGACATTACTATTTTAGTAGAGTTGCAGATTTCTTACACAGGTCTGGAAGGTCTTTTAGTTAGAGGCCATGTATATTTCTTTTTTTTTTTTTCTTTTTCTTTTTTTGCTGCAAAGACGTACCCAAAGGCCATGTATATTTCCTAAGGGAGATATAGGATGTTTCTTTACTGTATGTGTCTTTTTATAAATAGTGCTGCTGAAGATGGAAACTCATTTCAATATATTTTTTTCTTTTTAAAAATTTCTTTTTTTCTTCCTTCTCTTCCTTCCCTTCCTTTCTTTCCTTCCTTCCCTCCCTCCCTCCCTTCCTCCCTTCCTTCCTCCTTTTCTTTTTTTTTTTCTTAGACAGAGCCTTGTTCTGTTGCCCAGGCTGGAGTGCAGTGATGCGATCTCAGCTCACTGCGACCTCCACCTCCCAGGTTCAAGCAATTCCCTGCCTCAGCCTCCGGAGTAGCTGAGGTTACAGGCACCCATCACCACACCCAGCTAATTTTTTTGTATTTTTAGTAGAGATGGGATTTCACCATCTCGGCCAGGTTGGTCTTGAACTTCCGACTTCGTGATCCATCCGCCTTGGCCTCCCAAAGTGCTGGTATTACAGGCATGAGCCACCACACCTGGCCTTCTTTCTTTTTGAGATTGAGTCTTGCCCTGTCACCCAGGCTAGAATGCAGTGGCACGATCTCAGCTCACTGCAACCTCTGACTCCTGGGTTCAAGCTATTCTCATGCCTCAGCCTCACGAATAGCTGAGATTACAGGCGCCTGCCGCCACACTCAGCTAATTTTTTTGTATTTTTAGTAGAGATGGGGTTTCACCATGTTGGTTAGGTTGGTCATGAACTTCTGACCTCAAGTGATCCTCCTGCCTTGGCCTCCCAAAGTGCTGGGATTACAGGTCTGAGCCACTGTGCTAGGCCAGTATATTCTTGTTAGTTAATATGCTAAAATGACATTCTTTGTCTTGGTTATAATCATGTTGTTAATTATTTTTTTTTTAATCCAGCTCTTTCCTACCCCAATCCTCACTATTTTTTTTTTTTAACCTCTTCTTCTGGTCCCTGCTCACGCATCCTGTGCAGTGGTGATTGGCTGGAGAAAAGACCTAGCCCCTTTTCCTTGCCTAAAAGTAGAGGAAATGTCTGCCATGTTTACTGCTGATTATGATTCATGAGCTGCTCTTGCTTAATAAAACCATGGTTGTTTTTGTTCTCCAGTTTTATTTTTGGTCTTATTTTTAATTGTATAGTAATTTCTTAAGATATATACTGCTAAGATATTTTCTTTGACTTAATTTGTTAAATTATAATATATCATTAATAAATTTTTTTTTTTTTTTTTGAGACGGAGTTTCGCTCTTGTTACCCAGGCTGGAGTACAATGGCACGATCTCGGCTCACCGCAACCTCCGCCTCCTGGGTTCAGGCAATTCTCCTGCCTCAGCCTCCTGAGTAGCTGGGACTACAGGCACGTGCCACCATGCCCAGCTAATTTTTTGTAGTTTTTAGTAGAGACGGGGTTTCACCATGTTGACCAGGATGGTCTTGATCTCTTGACCTCGTGATCCACCCGCCTCGAACTCCCAAAGTGCTGGGATTACAGGCGTGAGCCACCATGCCCGACCCAGTAAATTTTCTATAATGTATTAATGTTTTATTAATGGAATATATTGATAAACCCCGCCAGTCATGGTGGCTCACGCCTATAATCCTAGCACTTTGGGAGGCTGAGGTGGGTGGATCACCTGAGGTCAGGAGTTCAAGACCAGCCTGTCCATCATGGTGAAACCCCATCTTTAAAAAGAAAAAAAAAAAGAAAAATAAACCCCATTGGGCTTTTGTAAATATATAAATACCTAAATTTTATGGACACAATTATTATATAAGTCAGGGGTCAATCACATATGTGTAGAATCCCAGCTTTTTGGGATGCTGAGGTAGGAGGATTCCCTTGAATGCAGGAGTTTGAGACTCTCCTAGGCAACATGCTGACACTCAATCTCAATTTTTAAATATATTTGTATCATGTTTTGTATATAGATAGAGATGGGATCTCCCTACCTTGCCCAGGCTGGTCTCAAACCGCTGGCGTCAAGCAGTCCTCCCACCTTGGCCTCCCAAAGTGCTGGGATTACAGGTGTGAGCCACCAAGCCCAGCCTACATTTGTATTTTTGAATCTGGGTATTTAATAAAGATTGGAATTCAACCTGCTGTTTTTTTTCATGGTCTACCATTTTTTAATGGCTTAATATATAATAATGTTTATAAACTAAATTGAATACAATTTATAAATTTTTGTTGCAAACATGCTGTAATGTACATAGCAACAATCACTATGACAGGTGGGTGCAGTGGTACAAACCTTTAGTTCCAGCTACTTGGGAGGCTGAGGAAGGAGAAACATTTGAGCCCCAGGAGTTCAAGGTTGTAGTGCACTATGAATAAGCCACCGCCATCCATCCTGGACAACATAGTGAGACCTTGTCTCTGGAAATTACAAAAGTGATGACAAATGTCATCTGAAAGATAGGTTGTTAACAGACAACTCCTATTTCAGTTGATGTGCATAAGTGTATATGCGTGCTAGTGTATATGCATCTAAGTGTACATATATATACATATATATAAGTGTGTGTGCATGACTGCACAGATGAGCAAGCCTCTGGTTTTGTTAAAGGCACGTCATCTTTTTATATACATATATATATTTTTTTCACAGTTGAAATTACACTGAAATATTTTCCATGACCACAGAAATTGTGCTACACCATTGTATTAATGAGTCGATGGCTGTGAATAATAACATTTATGGGATACATGTGTGTACTCACATATAATAACCTTTTATGCAGGTCCATGATTTTATCCCTGAACCTGTTTTAACTTCTTTCAATTAGGTAATTGTCAATTTACTTTTGATGCTGATCTGGTCACTGTTTGATGCTTCAGGTTTGGTTCTAATGCTCGGACACCTGGGATCGGTGCTTACTCTGCCGTTTTTAGCCCTTACACCTGGGGCGAGTTTCTTAGACTATCTGTGACACAGCTGTCTTCTCAGTAAGACACAGCTCTTTCTTTCATGGGCTTTTGCTGTCTTAGTACATTTAAAGCATTTAGAATAGTACCTATCACATAAGTGTTTAAAAGCATCAGTCATTGTTATTGTTATCATCACAGTTTTATAATTCCCTTTTTTTTTTGAGACAGAGTCTCACTCTGTAGCCCAGGCTGGAGTGCAGTGGCGTGATGTCAGCTCACTGCAACCTCCCCCTCCCGGGTTCAAGCGATTCTACTGCCTCAGCCTCCTGAGAAGCTGGGATTACAGGCACCCACCAGCACACCTGGCTGATTTTTGTATTTTTAGTAGAGACGGGGTATCGCCACATTGACCAGGCTGGTCTTGAACTCTTGACCTCGGGTGATCTGCCTCCCTCGGCCTCCCAAAGTGCTGGGATTATAGGCGTGAGCCACTGCACCTGACTTACAATTTTTTTGTTACAGCCACTGCGGATATTGTCATCTCTGAAGATGCCACTTGTATTGGAGTGTCGAAAATAATATCTGTTGCTTCTGTACAGATTGTAGAGAAAACTGTGGGTTTTTTATTTGTATTTCTTTGTTGTTCTTTTCTTTGAGAAGGAGTCTTCCTCTGTCGCCAGGCTGGAGTGCACTTGCATGATCTCAGCTCATTATAACCTCCGCCTCCTGGGTTCAAGTGATTCCCCTGCTTCAGCCTCCCAAGTAGCTGAGACTACGGGCATGAGCCACCACACCCGGCCTCTTATTTTTGTTTCTTAAATGCCCACACTATGAGTATCTATATTGATTTTTAAAATGTAACTTATTATAGAAAAGTATAATAAACCACAATTAAAAGGCCGGGAGTGGTGGCTCATGTCTGTAATCCCAGCAGTTAGGGAGGCTGAGATGTGTGGACCAGTTGAGATCAGGAGTTCGAGACCAGCCTGGCCAGCGTGGCGAAATTCTGTCTCTACTAAAAATACAAAAATCAGCCGGGTGTGATGGTGCACACCTATAATCCCAACTACCTGGGAGGCTCAGGCACGAGAATTGATTGAACCCAGGAGGTGGAGGTTGGAGTGAGCCAAGATGGCACCACTGCACTCCAGCCTAGGCGACAGAGCAAGACTCTGTCTCAAGAAAAGAAAAAAACACATTATAGACACAGCTACATCACAAATACCTTAACATGGATTTGTCAGAACTTTCACTTCAATCGAGTTAATCTTTCCAACTCTCTTCTCATTTTGAGTGAAGACAAATTCCCTTTCCATATCCTGTTGGTAAAATGTGTCTTCATTTTAGGGACACTTGACATTCACGGATGTGGCCATAGAATTTTCTCAGGAGGAGTGGAAATGCCTGGACCCTGCGCAGAGGGCTTTGTACAAGGATGTGATGCTGGAGAACTACAGGAACCTGGTCTCCCTGGGTGAGGATCTTGCCCCTGCAGAAGCGGGGATCTGCCCTTGGTTTCTTGGCACTGTCCCTTGAGTGCCTCCTGGGAGCCTCTGTATTACTTGACTGAGATTAAAACCTTGTTGACTTGGGAAGGGTATGGTGGCTTACGCCTATAATCCCAGCCCTTTGGGAGGCTGAGGCAGGCTGATCACCTGAGGTCAGGAGTTTGAGATGAGCCTGGCCAACATGGTGAAACCCCGTCCCCACTAAAAATACAAACATTAGCCAGGTGCGGTGGTGGGTTCCTGTAATCCCAGCCACTGGGGAGGCTGAGGCAGGAGAATCGCTTGAACCCGGGAGGTGGAGGTTGCAGTGAGCCAAGATCACACCACTGCACTCCAGCCTGGGCAATAAAAGCAAAACTCCATCTAAAAAAAAAAAACAAAAAACCTTGTAGACTCAAAAATGAAAAGCTCCATAGTGTTGTTTTCTGGAGTTGAAATGTCTCTTTTCTTCAGATACTCTGTCCCCTTCAGTGTACATCATTGTGGGTTACCAGGGCTGAAGTATGCATAAAACCTTTCTTGTTTGCTTTTGAAATTGAGTCTTGCTTTGCTGCCCAGGCTGGAGGTCATTGATGTGCTCTTGGCTCACTTGAGCCTCAGCCTGCGTCTGCCACCATGCCTGGCTAATTTTTGTATTTTTCATTTTTACAGTGTTGGCCAGGCTGGTCTCAAACCCCTGGGCTCAAGCAGTCCACCCTCATCAGCCTCCCAAGGTGCTGGGATTACAGGCTTGAGCCACCACACCCAGCTGCATAAAACCTTATGGCAAACTTTTAAGATGCCCACGTCCCTGTTTTCTACTCCTGGGCTTTATACTCAGGAGTTCTTGGAAGGGAGCTCGATGTCTGCATGTTACAGTATTCCCTAAGCGTCCAGTCTGTGGGTGATTTTGTGAAACATTATTGATTCATTTGTGATAGCCTCCCCCCTACTTAGACAGAGGGCTTGGATTTTGGAGGTGCCACAGTACAGTTTGATTCTTTTTTTACAAACAGGAATCTCTCTTCCTGACCTGAATATTAACTCCATGTTGGAACAAAGGAGGGAGATCTGGTCTGGTGAGAGTGAAGTGAAAATAGCAAAAAGTTCAGACAGGAGGGAATGCATCAAAGTTGTAAACAGAGGTAAGAGCTCAGATGGGCAGGGTGGAAGCCACGCTGTTGTTTGGGCTTTTTTGTTTTGTCTTGTTTGGGTTTTTTGTTTTTATTTTCGTGTTTGTCTTGTTTTTGAGACAGAGTGTCACTCTGTCATGAAACAGAGCCTGGGAGACAGAGCAAGACTTGGTCTGAAATACACATATATATTTTTTTGACTGGAGATTTTATTTTTTCTTTCTTTTTTTTCTATGTATTCACTTATTTGAGATGGAATCTCACTCTGTTGCCGAGGCTGGAGTGCGGTGGAGCGATCTCAGCTCACTGTAATCACGCCCCGTCCCCCCCACCGCCCCGGGTTCAAGGGATTCTGCTGCCTCAGCCTCCCAGGTATCTGCAATTTCAGGCACCTGCCACCATGCCTGGCTAATGTTTTTTGTATTTTTAGTAGAGATGGGGTTTCACCATGTTGTCCAGGCTGGTCTCAAACTCCTGACATTAAGTGATCCGCCAGCCTCGGCCTCCCAAAGTGCTGGGATTATAGGCTTGAGCCACTGTACCCAGCCTCTTTTTATTTTGCAGATACAGGAATCTGGCCATGTTGCCCATGTTGATTTTGAATCCCTGGGCTCAAGTAATCCTCCTGCCTCAGCCTCCAAAATTACTCTTGATTACAGGCATGAGCCACCATGCCTGATCTTAATTTTTGTTTTGAATTTAGATTTAATTGGTTGCCAGGAATATTTAACTCATTTCTCCCACAATTTCACTCTCTCCCCTCCCTGCTTCCTTTCTGTTTGTACGAATTTCAGTATTTTGGATACTCAAAGTGGAATCATACAGTATTTATCTTGTTATGACTGGCTTATCTCACTTAGTGTAGTGTCTTTCAGGTTCATCTATTTTGTAGCACATTTTAAAAAATTGTATATTCTTTTAGGACTGAATAATGTTTTTCTCTTGTCTGTACCACAGTTTGTTTAACTGTCCATCCGCTGGTGGACACATGCATTACGTCTACCTGTTTGTTATTTTGAATAATGCTGCTATGAACATGCGTTTTGTTTTCTTTTGTTTTTTGAGATGGAGTCTCACTCTGTCACCCAGGCTGGAGTACAGTGGTGTAATCTTGGCTCACTGCAACTTCTGCCTCCCAGGTTCAAGCAATTCTCCTGCCTCAGCCTCCTGAGTAGCTGGGACTATAGACGCATGCCACTATGCCGAGATAATTTTTGTATTTTTAGTAGAGGTGGGGCTTCACCGTGTTGGCCAGACTGGTCTCAAACTCCTGACCTCGTGATCCACCTGCCTCGGCCTCCCAAAGTGCTGGGATTACAGTTGTGAGCCACAGAGCTCAGCCTTGAGCATGGGTTTTTAAGTATCTCTTCAAGATGATATCTTCATTTTTAAAAAAATTATTATTATTTTTGTTTGTTTGTTTTTTCGAGACACACTCTTGTCTCCCAGGCTGGAGTACAATGGCTCCATCTCAGCTCACTGCAGCCTCTCCCTCCCAGATTCAAGCAATTCTCCTGCTTCGGCCTCCAGAGCCACTAGGATTACAGGTGTGTGCCACCATGCCTGGCTAATTTTTATATTATTAGTGGAGACAGGGTTTCACCATGTTGGCCAGGCTGTTCTTGAACTCCTGATCTCAGGTGATCCGCCTGCCTCGGCCTCCCAGAGTGCTGGGATTACAGGCGTGAGCCACCGAGCCTGGCCACTTTTTTTTTTTTTTTTTTTTTTTGAGAGGGAGTCTCGCTCTGTTGCCCAGCACACTGGTGTGCAGGAGCACAATCTTGGCTCACTGCAACCTCCTCCTCCCAGTTTCAAATGCTTCTCCTGCCTCAAACTCCCGAGTAGCTGGGATTACAGGCACCTGCCACCATACCCAGCTAATTTTGCATTTAGCAGAGATGGGGTTTTGCCATGTTGGCCAGATCCCACAGGTTGAAGGCTCAGTCTCCAAGACTTGCCCTCATCTCACCAGTTAAGTTCTAGGCGTCCAGAACTTCTGACCAAAGGGCATCAAGTTGGGGTTCCCTTGACCCCTTCTTTGGGCTTAATTTGCTGGAGCAGATCACAAAGCTCACAAAACCACTTACTTAATGTTTACCGGTTTATTATAAAAGATACTTCAAAGGGTACCGAGGAAGAAACATGTTGGGCAAAGTATGGCGCAAGGGGCATGGAGCTGCCATGTCCTTCCTGGGTGCATCACCATCCAGGAATCCCCATATGTTCAGCCATTGGGAAACTCACTGAACCCAGTCTTCATGGATGCTTATGGTCAGCCTTCCTTCCAACAGAGTATAGAGTGGGACTCTCTCTGGGGAAGGTCTTAAGACCCACCATCAGAAAGCTGGGGGAAGATGAGAGTCCTGCCTTGAGGCAGGTGAAAGGAAGGCTAGAGAAGGTTAGAGAAGTTCTGTTTCCTGAGGCCTGCAGGGAAGGCCTAACACACCCAACATTATAACCAAAGACTGTAGCAGGGGCCGTGGGAGTTATTAGCCAGGAACCGCAGGTAACAACCAATGTATATATCTCTGTGTATTATTTATTTTTAATTCCTTTTTTTTTTTTTTGAGATAGAGTCTCACTCTGTTGCCCAGGCGGGAGTGTAGTGGCGCGATCTTGGCTCACTGCAGTCTCTGCCTCCTGGGTTCAAATGATTCTCTGCCTCAGCCTCCTGAGTAGCTGGGATTACAGGCGTGCACCACCATGCCTGGCTAATTTTTTGTATTTTTAGTAGAGACGGGTTTCACCATGTTAGCCAGGATGCTGTCTATCTCCTGACCTTGTGATCTGCCTACCTCAGCGTCTCAAAGTGCTGGGATCACAGGCGTGAGCCACCGTGCTCAGCCTGTATCTCTGTGTATTATAACACTACATGGGAATTCTGGAACCAGTCCTCCCTGGAAACCAAGGAACAGCTGCATTCTGAATAGAAATAATGCAAGTAGGATTTCTGTGTTCCTTTTTCCCCCTAATTATGGAGGAAAACTCTTCATTCTTTAAGCATTGAATATGATGTTACCTGGTGGCGTTTTATATATGGCCGCTATTAAGTAGATGCTTTGTATTCCTAGTGTGTTGAGTGTTTTTATTGTAAGTGATTGTTGAAGTTTTTCAAATGTTTTTCTGTATTAGCCAAGATCATTGTGTGGGTTTTTTTCTCTTTATTCTCTTATTGTCAGGTATCACGTGGATTCATGTTCATAAGT